CCGCCCCAAAAAAACCCACCCGCTCGCACAATAAAATCTCACACATACGCACGGCACTTGCGGGTTCGTCGGCCCAACCGGCTCAACGCCCGCGGGCGCGCGCGGGCGTCCTAACCCCCCCCTTCCCAGCCGAAAAGGCAAAAAAACGTGGCGAGACCGGGGGTGGGTGGGTGCGCAAAAGGAATAGAGAGGAAAAAAAACTGTGCAGTGCAGCCGGTAGGATGTAACGGGATTGTGAAACAAAGGGAGTGGGTAAGTGTGTGGCGGGGCGGCGGTGATGGCCGGCCTCGGAGCATACATGTATGTGTGACTTTATCCCAGCTGGGAAGGAGAATGTGTGTGTGTGTGTGAGAGAGAGAGAGAGAGAGAGAGAAAGAAGAAGTATGCGTGTGTGAGGAGAGAGCGGGGTATGATGTGGGGGGTTTAGCTAGAAAGGAAACGGAAAGCAAAAGAGGGAAAAGAGGTACATACTAATAAGAAAAAAAAATCTTGAGTCTGTGTAATGGGCATGGAAGGGAGGGGGGACGATGAGAAAGTCGTTAACTGACACAGGACCCTTTTGACACGGTTTCTCTCTCTCTCTCTCTTTCTGTCTCATACCCATCTCATCCTCTCTCTCTCCCCACACGGACGATGATGATGATGATGATGATGATGATGAAGGAGGATGAGAAAGCGAGATAACACCGGTTATCCATGTATACACAAATGCAACTAAACTAAACAATCAAAGATAACCAAGATTGAGGGGAAGCTAAAACCACGTGATGACAAGAAAAAAAAGACGGACAAAGGACAAAAACCAAGGACAGAAGGAGATTTGACTCTTCCCAAGACCCCTTCCTCCCCCCCACGCGGACAAAATGAGGTCTCATTAAACACGGTAAATTCACGCACCGCATAGTGAAAACAAGACGGGAAACAAGATGAATGAGCGAATTTCTGTTTTTTTTTTGTCTAAGCTAAATGCATTTGAGCAAGAGAGTGCCGTAAATGACTCCCAAGTAATTAAGCGTCGACACGCAAACAAAGACACGCTTTGATGATAATGGAGAAAAGAACAATGTGTGAAGTATCAATGTGTGTATAATGTGCCTTTTGCAACAACGACAACAGCTAGATGGCTTTCCCCTCCAAAAAAACACCCCCATGACTTTTGTAAGCAAAACGATGCCGCCAAACAGCTAGGATATGTGTTTTCCCACAACGAACGAGAAAAGAAAAGAAAGAGCGCTCTGGCAAGATTGGATGCGACAGGCAAGAAAGACCGAAGAAAGGAAGATTGTAAAACAACAGGAAGAATCAACAAAAGGTGAACAAAAAAATTCAATGAGACTTTGAAAAGCAGAAGAGAAAAAAATAGGGTACTCATGTTCGTAGTTGTCATGACCAAGCCTAAACAAGCCAATATCCGGTGACAAAGACCGTCCGTTTGCTCAAACGGCTGGAAGAGAGGAAGATAGATGAAAAGAAAACAGGATGGGATGCAATGCAGCACTTGGGCCCCAACACAAGACAGACTTCGGTCTAGCAAATTAAAACACAAAGTCGGAAGAGAAGATGTAGACAAAAAAACAAAAAATACAAAGAGGTATCCTTCTAGATCGCTGCGCCTTGACTACGCCGAGATGCTCATTTCACGTGTGTAACGTCGTGATGGGACTGTTGGTGGTGGCGGAAACGGTGCCTACTCAGTAGTGGCTGCCCGCCATCAAGCCATGTTGTGGCGGCGCCATGGTCATGCCAAGGCCGGGATCAGGAATGTCGTTGATTGAGTGAGACAGGCCGGAGAGGTAGTCGTTGCCAGATTCAGGCGACAGATCGTCCTCGAGCGACTGAAGGTGGTCATCCTCACCTTCCAGGTCTTCGTCCTGGTAATCGCTCAGCGGCTCGCCGTCAGCGCGGGGCTCATGTGTGCGACGATGTCTAATAAAACTAAATTAGCATTTTGCTTGTTTGATTGGGTGGCTGCTAGCGAAGGGATGACGTACTGGGCAAGGTTGTCTGAGCGTGAGAAAGCCTTGTTGCACAACGGGCAAACGTATGGTCGTTCTTGAGTGTGGGTACGCACGTGCCTAAGCGCCGGGGGTCAGCGTCTATGCAAAACAACAAAAATAGTGGGGCAAAGAACAACGTGGTGAAACATGAAGGAGAGAAAACAAGAAATTGCGCGCGCTTACCTCTTGAGGTGTTCTAATCTCTTGAAGAGACGACCACATGTGGGGATCGGGCACGAGTGCGACTTTTGTGGGTACGGGCCAATCTCCATCATGGTGGCACTTCGGGCGCGCCTGTAGATGGGGCCGCCAGTGCCGGCGGTACGAGCGATAGCGCTGTGCTGCAGAGGGCTCTCAAACAGCTCACCGTTGACCAGGTTGTTGAGGTCGTCGTGCTGCAGAGGAGCCGACTGGGGCTCAGGGTCCTCCTCGACAGTGTTGAGCGGGGTTCCTTGACGAGACATGTCAAAGGCTGGCTTAGACTCTGGCATCTGAGGAGCAGGAGCATAGCTTGCGCCGTTTGCACTGTTGGGCGAGTTGTGTGTGCTCTCGTCGACCTCAGCTAGGGGAACAACCGAGCTGGACATTGACCGCCTCAAGTCACTGGGGCGGTGGACTTGGTGGGCACCGGCACCGGAAGCAGTGACGGCGGCAGCAATGCCAGCAGACAGGGAAGAGCGCCTTCTCCGTTGCTTGTAGGTAGGCGAGCCCTCGATGACCGAGTAGACGTTGCCTGGAGCAAACGGCCTTGAAACACCGGGATAACCAGGGCCCATCAGGTTCGATGGGGGAAGGTTCATCAGTGGGTTGAAGGTGTTGGGGGCTGGAAGGTCTGGGATGGCACTGTAGAGGCCAGTGTCCTCGTTGGCAATGTATGCGGGCTCGGCACCAAGGCCAATCTGGTGTTGAGGAGGGGTCAATGGCTCAAAGGACATGCCGCGAGTGCTGTAGTCCTCGTAGTGAGAAGAGACAAAGGAAGGCGCGGGCGAGTACTCCATGTATGCGGGCATGGAGCTGTGCCGTTGGTGAATCTGCGACAAGGGAATGCCGTTGCGGTCGTACTGGAAAGACTGGCTCATCTCGCGTTGCTCTCTGCTCTTTACAATGTTGTTTGGCATTGAAGGAGGCATTGACATTTGCTGGTGGTAGTGGGCCATTGGGTCCTCGGCGTGCATTGGCTGCTGCATCGAGGGCATCGACTGCTGGACGGGCACCATTGTTGGCGGGGGCATGGATTCCATGCTGCGCATGTCGGGCGATGTGGTGGGGTACGATGGCTGAACGTTGTTGTTGAAAGAAGAAGAGTTTGTTTGTTGAGCCTTGGTGAGCTGCTCGAAAAGCGACTGTGATGAATCAAACTCAAAGGAAAGAGCGGGCTCGCTGACGGCCATGGTGGTGGCCTCTTGGCCCATCTTCTCGCGCTTCAGGTCGCGCTCAAGAGCATCGAGGAAGAGGCGGTCGTGGGGCACGCTGTACCAGTAAAAGACCTTTTGCTTCTTTTGGGTGCGGATGCAGTTGTTCTTGTAGAGAAAGTCGAGGAATGCGCTCTTTGGCTCCTCAAGGGAGGCGTCTGTGCCGGACTTGAGGTTGCGCAGATCTGAGAAGATGCCCTCTTCGAACTTTTTCGAGTTCTTGACGGGGCGGCCAAAAGCCTGGAATCTGAAGGACAGACATCTTACAATGTCGGTACCGGAAATGTGGAAGAGGTTGTTCCTGCAAAGCGCGGCGGGGTTAGACGGTGCGGGGTGCAGATGCAGATGCAGGTGGCGGCAAACTTACCAGAGAACGCACGAGACGTACTCGCCAGTGGGGAGCAAGAAGCGGCGGATGTACTGGTCGGGTTGCCAGTCTACAGGAGCAGAAATGAGAAAGTACTTGACTGTGGTGCAGGTGGCGTGTCAGCTGTGGATGCGCGCAGGCGGGGGAGGGGAGAGAGCTTGGTGGGTACACATACGGTTGTCGACCTGCTGCAGGGCAACGACCGAGTCTGGGGGAAGGCTCTGCTGGGCGTCCTGATCGAGTAAGAAGGTCTCGGGCGCGACGGAGCGTGCCTGGGGCGGCGGCATCTGGGCATGGTGGGCGGATGGATACATGGCGGGCTGCAACACCTTTGGGTCTTGTGTTCAGTGGTTTGAGGGAGCCAACGTCAGAGGGCTTGTGCGGGAGGAGCAGCACGTGGAATGGGTCGTCGAGGACCTGCCAGGAGTTGAAAACGAAAGAGTGTCAGGCTATGTTTAAAAGGAGTAGACAATAAAACGCGTGAACGTGAGGCGGATAATAAAAACGTGAGGAACCTGCCTCAGATAGCAGTCTCGAGGATGACCACGAAGGGACGGCGTTGGGAGGGGATGCGAAACGCAAATCTGAGGGGGCAGCGGCAGCTTTAGGTGTCGGAGGGCGAGTGAAACAGGAGCCTAGTCGTCTCACATTGATCTATTTCCGCACGCCAGCCAGCACGGCGGCCTGTGCGCGTAGCGCGGCCAATTGGGGCTCCGAGGGCCCCGCCCACGCCCTCCTTGGCAGACAGGGATCGTGGCGACTCGTGGGCCGGGCGGCGTGTGCGCCCTGGCCTGGCCCGCCGATGCCCTCGCATGCCCATGGGCGGCCGTGGGAGGCCATGCCATTCCCTTTGCATGCATGCCACGGCCGCCCATGGGCCGACCTGCTCGATGGATGCTGGCTGGACGGTGGACGGTGGATGCTGGATGCATCATGGACGGATGCACCGGGTGGGTCCTGCGCCATGGGGCCTGCTGGCTGCTGTCTTGCGTCAGTCCTACCAGCCAGTCCAGTCCTGTGACCACGAACACCCACCCGGATACACGCCTACTACGTCCGTACACGAACATGCTGCATACTGGCTTGCTCCCTATACAGGAAAGGACCCCTTGCCGCCTCTCGGATGCCGCCTTCCTATTCTACAATTACACACCCTCACACACTCTCTCACTCTCTCACACACACATTACTAGTAGTATTTCCTCTGCTATCAGCGGGTCTCTCTCACCCCCCTCCCCACTCTCTTTTCTTTGCATAACCGCTCACCACATCTCACCTTGCTCTTGCCTTGCCCTGCCCTGCCTTGTCTTGTATTGCTTGCTGCGACACGACTGTTTTTCTTCTTGCCGCTCCTTGCCGGGGCCGGCACACTCGCCCTATGCCGCTACGACTATCCTGTACCACCACCACCACTACTCATACAACTCGTACTCGCTCTTCCCACTGCCCGCTACACGCACACACTACTCCCCTCCTTCTGCCTGCTAGTCCGCTTTGCTGCAAGCTAGCCCTCTGATCTGCATGTACCAAACACGCGCCCTCCCTTTCCCCATCCTCGGCATGTGCCAGTCTGCTTGGACCGCCCACTCCAACTGCGGACTACTGCTGCAGGTACATCACACCTGCACTCTTGCTCAAATCGCGCTCGTCTGTGCGTCGCAGCCAGTCGCAGCAGCAGTACGCTACCCAGCCTCGCGGCCACTCCTCTGCCCTCACCACTATCGCGATCCACGGCCGCTTTTCTGTCCATCTCGTGCCTCCCTGCCTACATCCGCACCCACCCAGCTACACCACACACTGTCAGATGCACACCAACACCACAAATCAACCCTGCGGCCGTGGTTTGATCTTCATCTGAAACAGCACCCTGAGCCCGCCGCGCGGGAGCGCCCATGGCTTTTTTGCAAATCTCTCTCATGCCCACGTTGCCCTGTCCAGATGCTCTCCCCTCTACCTATCCCCATCCCCCTCATCCCCCGTCCATGCACTCGATTGATCAGATTGCCTCATTGCCTCGATGCACTTGGACTCTTGTCGTCCATACAAGGCCGGCACGCCGTCTGCCACAGCATGCAAGCTCGCTGCTCGGCGTGACGCTTTGCCCGCTCGCCAGTCCAGTGTGGGAGCGGTTTCAGGATTTCTTTTTGGCTAGCCGACATGAGCCGTCGACGGCTGTGATTGGTCGGGGAGCTAGTCACTCGCCTTTGCTCGTCTTTGCTCGCCTCGGCCGCATGCCCTGCTGCGCGCAAGCGCTGCCCGCTTTGGGACAACATGGATGCCCGTTGCTCTCGATATTCATGCAATCACCACGCCCTGATGTCACTGGCTGACCGTTCCCATCTAGTGCCAGCCGCTGTCCTCTTACTCTGGCTTACCCTGCCCTCCCATGCCCTCCACTCGCCCTCCCCCCCCAAAAAAAACGGTGGGGAATTCTGCTACGCAACTAGCAACTCTGCTGCTGTGCGTCCGCCTTCCGCCCGCGTCCGCCCATAGGTGTACTGTAGACACCTAGACCTAGACCTCATCCTCTCCCCAATTGACCCGTCGCCAACTACTTGCTGGGATGCTAATAACTCGCCGCCACCCAATCTTGCTCTCATTCGCAATCACACCAGACAGCGTCCATGCTTCTTGACCGCCATCACCTCGCCTGGCTTCCCTCTCCCCGACACATGGCCGGCTCCCTATATCACACGCCCGTCCATCCACTATTGGCTTTGGGTAGTAAGTAAACATGGGCGCACGTTTCCGCACACGCTTGCACCCGCCAGTGGGACTTGCAGTGCCGCTGCCGAAAACAATTTCCCGCCCTGCCATCTTTTTCGCAGCTAGTCATGATACACTTGTCGGAGCAACCAGCCATTTCGGCTGGTGTGAGATTTGTACCTGCGTTAGCGGTCCTCGAGGTTGCATTTCTGAAACCTATTGGCCCTTAGGCCGACTGCCGAAACGGGTGACGAGCTGCCGCTCAAAAGCGGGCGGGCTGGCCTCGCTAAGACCTCCCTCTTGCAAAATGACATGATGGCAACGTCGCCCCATGATCTTAATGTTTCTTGATATAGCCCGCCAACCACTCGGACGCACGTGGCCCAACGTATTCTCCACGCCCGCCATGCTGATTCTGTGTCCCTCAACTACCACAACAGGCCTAGATGCAATGATTCACGTTCTTCTGTGCACACCAAACGCTATATCAAATCTATCCGCTTTCGGTCAGACGTTAGCCTTGGGTCAACCGCCATCGTTGGGCGACTGGGTTGACAAACCCAAAGCAGCCCACGAGGCTGGCAACTCTAGCCGTTTGCCAGCCACAATCTACATTCGCAATTCCCCTTTTCTGTCCCTGCTCTTTGCTTGTCAACGTGAACGCGAACGTGAAGCCCCTCCCCCCCCCCCCGACCAGTTCATACGGATATGGGCAAATGCGACAAACTGCAGCCCACTCCACAATCACCCCCCGTCACCCCCCATCACCACCCCCATTGCCGTTGATCTTTGCCCGCCACCGGTTTACGGCAGGCGTGACGAGCATTGCCATTATTCATACACCTACATGCGCCCTACCAGCAGTGACCCTGTAGCCGATGCTGCGTCGTTTGCGCCCTCTTGGTCGTCGTTTTCGTCGTCGATCTGCCATCCGTGTATCAGATATTGAGGGTCTGTATCAGACTGCCGCCAGTTTCATCTCCATCACCCACTTACACAAGAGGTCTGGTCCCTCGAAGCAACGTAATCGTTGTTGCATTCTGCCATCACAAGACTGCCCGACGGGTATACTCCCTGGCTGATCGTGAAGATCATCTTCGAGAAATCCGGGGCGTTCCTTTTTGTGCTGGTGCTTCGGCTGACGTCCAAACATTACATGTCTTGCGTAACCATTGCTCAAGCGAGCACGCTCGCCCGTCCAGATCGCGAGTCTTGCCCGCTCCAGTAGCAATCCATCTTCTTCTGGAACGTTTCCACGTCCGTTCAGCTGCTGAGTTTGATCTAACGCATTGCAATTGCGCCATCGATGCCGACAACATCATGCTGGTGACTTTTAAAGTTCCTTAGCGGACTCAATGGTCGACTAACCAAGCCAAGTCACCAACTCGTCGTTAGTCCCTTCTTCATGCGGAAATCATGACACATGGACGACCCAAACCCTAATTCTAATGCTAAGCGACTGCAACTGCTCGTAGCTAGAGGCGGCCCGCGAAAAAAGGGCATCGTGTCAGTGCATCGTGTTCCATCAGCCTTGGGGAACAACACTCAGCTTACGTACTTACAAGCTGACCAGAAGCAACGGCGCATCTGTTTCAGCTTCGGTCGGCAACAATGGTAGACCACGAGGCTGACTTGCTGTCTCTGAATACCACCGGTGCTACGTGGTCGAGACACTCTTTGGACGGGTCAACACGGTCTCCCAATTCCGCGGATCGCGATCATGTGGGCATTCCAAATACGGGCTACCGTGGGTTTTCCGACGTGAGTCGGTGGTGCATTTGATTGCTCGGTATAGCCCGCGAGGATCAGTAGATCCGGTTCTTGCGACACTTGCGGCCAAATGGCTTTAATCGAGGAATAGGGCATATCGCCGGTGAGTCCCTCGAGCACCGATTCAAGCTTTCAATACTCCTCAACTCAGGGGCAATGAAAGAGCCGCCCCACCGTGGAACAATAAGGACAGGCACTCGCAGCTATAGAATCGGGCAAACCGCCGGACATGACCGCAAAAACCATGTTTGTCGGAAAGAACATCCGGGATGCACTGAGAATAGCAGTCGCAGTGAATGAACTGGCATGAAACTCTCCGAAATTCAGTCGTCAGCAGGTGGCAATTGTGCAAACATGGGGTTGCTCATCCACGCAATCGAGCAATAACCACCACCCGTCCCCAGGTTGTGAAATTGGGGATATGTGCATACTTTAGGGGTCCAGGTTCATCCCGATCCTGCGCACCTGATCGACCCTTGTGTCGTTGTCTGGACCCTGCGCAAGTGGACTGGCGTCGTATCGAGCGCATGCTCTTCCCCGTGTACAAGGCCTTGGATTTGTGGCTGCTATCGTCTGCATCAAGGTGACCGCAGTGCGGCCGTAGTGCGGCCAGGCGCAACCCCCCGTTCATCAATACAACGATTTTACTTGATCCTAATCTGCCAACTATTGCTACCGGTGGCAAGCCGACCAATGCATGCAAGAACCACCTATATGTGAGTTTCAAATGACTGGGTTCAATACGTTGACCGGCGTGGCACTGATGGGCCGAATCAAGGCTGTACCGTGGACCATTTCAACGGCAGCGGCTGTTCAGCTCCCTTAAATCTAAACTCCGGCCACATAATCTTGTGTCTAGCGCGTATAATTGAGTTCAACTTGATGGCGGCCTGGATACACCATGTGAAATCTTGTCTGCTGGTGAGCAACCTGCCAGGCCAAGGAGAAACCGCAAGCATTACTATGTTGATGACTAGTCCAAGCCCCAAGAGTCGTGATCATCGCCAGCGCATGGCTTTGGTTTACTCCAATATGTATGTATATCGCTATCAAATACCTCAAGTTTGGAGATGTTTCCGAAAAGGTAGGCACGTACATACATACATGCAGTATTATGTAGTCTGTTCAACAGCGTCCTGCATGCGGCCACTAGCGCATCTTGGCATGGCTCCCACAGTTAGCTACGAAGCCTCGTGCTGAAGTTCTTTGAAGCGACCACGACGAACCCGCGAATGCTTCCGCATCCATGATCCCCCTATCTGCGGCGAGGGCCATATTGCCTTGTCACATCCCTGCAGCTCTCCCACGCACCTCAATTGGACTAGGAAGTATTCTCCGGCCCGCACATGTTCGGCCCTCCTTGTACCTGGCTACCTCACGTGCTTCTGGAACCTGGACTCGCAATGACGTAAAAAAATACCAGCACCGCAGAGTAGTGAGAGGCGCGGCCTACGGGCAGTGTAGTCAGGGGCATGTTGGATTGTTTAGCACATCGACAACGCGGAGACTGGGCATCGAGGACAAGGCAAAGGAATCGTCGGCTTCTCGAAATAATGCAGAGGTAGGTTTGTGCGCGTCTTGACATCATCACTCTGATGGTTGTCACGATACTCCAAGGACCGAGAATCACATGATTCTATCAACAAGGACTTTTTGGCTTGTAATTTTTTTTCTCCAATTCGAAGCAGCAGTCTGTTTGGTTGTTTTCTATATCACTGTTTGTCACATAAACTTCACCTGCATCTCATTTTATTTTTTGTATTCTGTCCAAGTCATTCAATATCCCGTCTCAGCCTACATCCGACTACACACGTAGTATTTCAAGCCCATGGAGAGAACATTAATACTAACAAAAAAAATAGCAACCTGTTCCATCTACTTCGGCACCCGCCAAACTCGCCACAACCATCAAATCTACGCTCAAACTCGACAAGCCTCGCCATGAACAAATCTACAATCTACCCAACATGCTTACTTTCTCCCGCCTCATAGCAACTCCTGCAATCGGTTACCTCATCATTCATGATCAGCATCTCTACGCCTTCTCACTCTTCATCTACGCCGCCTTTTCCGACCTTCTTGACGGCTGGATCGCCCGCCGCTGGAATCTGCAGACTGTAGTGGGTAGCGTAGTCGACCCCATGGCCGACAAATTCCTCATGACAACATTGGTAACATGTCTCGCCGTAAACGGAAGTCTACCCATGCCGCTAGCCTGCATCATCCTCGGAAGAGACGTTAGCCTCGCCATCTCTGCCCTCTACTACCGCTACGCCAGCCTCCCGGCACCCAAGACCATGGCACGCTACTGGGACTTCAGCCTTCCGAGCGCAGAGGTCCACCCCACCACCGTCTCCAAGTTCAACACGTTCCTCCAGCTAAGCTTGCTCGGCACATTACTTTGCACAAACTTGCTGCACGACCCCTCCGCCACCACCTCCGCGGCGGGTGGCTTGCTCATGTCGATCCAGGACGTTTTGGGCGGCGAACAAGGCGTCAAGACGCTCGTCCAAGGCATGTCTGCCATTGTCGCTTCCACCACAATCTACAGCGGCTTGGAATACACGTGGTCTAAGAAGGCCGTTGTTATTCTTGGTGGCGACGAAGCACTAAAGAGGAAGCAGGGTTTCCGCGGCAGAATGATCATGGCTGCTGGTTTCGGTTCCTTCATCTCTCTTGCTGCGTATTTTTGGGTCAACCGCAGGGCTGAAGAGGAAATCAAGGAAAAAGCGAAGAAGAAGTTGGTAAGCTACTAGAAATGGAAATGGAAATGGAAATGGAATGGTAAAAGCAAATGAGAATTGGGCCGAAGGGTGGGGAGGGGGG